GAGAAGCCCAGCTTGTCATGATGCTTGTTATGGCCTTTTTATGGGCTTTCACCATGGAGACCAGTTGCCTTAATTGGTTTTATGTTGTTTTGTTTCTCCATGTGTATACTTACTAATTGTTGAAAGCTTTCTATGTGCTATATTCTGGGGATTTCAGGGAAAGTCACATAGGATTCCTGTTTTTGAGATCACTGGTGTCAAGGGGGAAATGTGACAAAGAGATGATCACCATAGAATTCAGCTGAGTTCTGGGGGCTATCAGAACACACAGAAGAGCCTCCTCCCTGGTCACAGATAGTGCAGGCCACAGTGAGTTTCCTGTGATCACCCCTAGGATAACTGGCTACAGTACTACCCCTGCGCAAAGCTTTTGCTGAGTCTTGTTCAATGGGATTAAGTCTGGTTGTACAACTGGATAGAGGAGCCATTCCCTATGGTAAAAACAGCATGTATGAAAGTCAGAGAATACCAGAAGATGCAGTATAATAAGATGGTTTTATTTGTTTAGGAAGGTAAGTTACAAAATATGAAATAATTAGAAAATTAGCTCCCATAAAGAAATAACTTTACAGAATAGTACACTGAGAGTATAGAAAAAACTAAGGTCACCATGAACTTATTATTGAAATCTGTCAGAAAATGTCCAGTTTTTGACACATTTTTTGAGGAGTTGATGATGCTATGAAGTCAGAAAGACTGGGTTTTGATCTTATTCTGCTATTTGTATGTTATGTTTCACTGAGAATGAGGTATGTGAATGAAAGTATCTAGTAAACCATAACACATTGTGCAAACAAGTTATCCTTTAAATCTCTTCACCTGTAGAGAGTTCTTAATTGATCAAGGTAATTTGGAAGCTATGAAAAGATGTGTGCACTTCTTTTGTGTGTGCGCGTGTATGTGTGGCACTGGGAACTGAACTCAGGACCTTGCACTTGCCAGTCAAGAACTGCACTCCTGATCCATATTCCCAGCCCTTGAAAAGATATATAGTTACATGGAGAGATGAAATATTGACATCAAGAATTATGTTAATTTTACTTCCTGGTTGAAAATCTTGGCCAATGCTATTGCAAAATGTACAACATGTCAATACATTGACTTGGGTGTTTTATACCTATCTGGCTCGAGGGTGGGGCAGAAGAACAGCGTGTAGGTTAGGCAGTCTGATTTAGCTGTGATGCACTATACATTATGGAGTTTGGGTGTTCTAAGTAAAGGTGTTCTCCCTACTAACTAAAGTGTCTTCTTCTAGACAGACATTTCACTGTCAGACTTCCTCTCATGATAGAAATCTAACTGTGCTGCTTTTGCTTCTGTGTCTCTGTAAACAGTAATAAACAATGCAATATAATAAGATGATTTTATTTGAGAACCAGGAAGCCAAGAGCAGGGGATGAGCCCAAGAGAGAAACGAAGGAGTTAGGGACAGAATATACTCTTCAGAAGTGCAATGCCGTTGTATTCAGTGTGAGTCAGTCGTATTCTCTGTTCAGGTGAGACAGAGGGCAGGGAAGTACCTCCAACGGTAGGGTTTGATGTGCTATAGGAGTCTGAATGTTTCGGAGTGCATGTCGAAGGCTGTGGTGAAGCACTGAAATGTAATTGACACAGATTGTTCAGGCATGCATTTGTATTAGTCAGACTTTCATTGCTACAGAAAATACCTGACATCAACAATTTAAGGGAAGGATACTGTATTTTGGCTCATAGTATCAGAATTTTCAGCCCCTGGTGAGCTGTTTCCAAGAAAAAAGATTTCAGGCAGGAGGGTGTGGTGGAGGAAATCTGCTTACCTTGAGAGCCAGGAAGTGAAGGGCAGGGGATGAGTCCAAGAGAGAAAGATAGGCGTTGGGACAGAATGCACCCTTCAGAAGCACCTGCTCAGTAACTCACCTCCTCTAGCAAGTCCCCACCACCTAACAGCACATTCAGCTATGAATTTTTCAGTGGGTTAATCCACTGAGGAGATTAGTGCCTCTGCCGTGATCCCAGTATCTTCCAAAAGCCCTCTCTTTGAACACATGAGGCTTTTGGGAGGACATTTTAAATCTAAACTGCAATACCGTCTTTCACTCCATGTGGTTTTTCAGTTTTCAGAGAGCCATTGGCTGTCTGGTGAGAAAGAGAGCCCTGCCTTATATCCCTTGTGCCTCACTGACACCAGTGCTTAGCAGGAGGTTACCAGGATGATTGCGGTCCTCTTTTTATATGGCTGTAAAGCTGACACTGAAGAACATGCAATGAGACATTAAAGATTTGTCACTTACTCTAGTTCACTAATAAATCCAAAGAACCTGTAATTCCAAAGGACCAGCATTCCAAAGTCATGGAAAGTAGGCTGTCCTCTCACTCTATGTGTGCGTCTGGATCCAACTCTATCAAGAGTTACCTTTTCAAACATATGCAAGCAAGGAGAGCATGGTCCATGAGGCATCAATGCAATTGCTGCAAAATTAGGAGGTATTCTATGGTTAAAAGTTTCTCTACCTGGGTGGCTCTGCTCCTATGGCACTTTGGTGGTAGCAGCTCCCATGGATTCTCTCTTGGGCTCACTCTCTTCCCTCTTTGCAGTTTTCCTCAGACAGTTCATGCTCCTGGCTCTCCCAACCTTCTGGGGTCTCCATTGCCACTTTGGCTTCCCACTCACAGCTTCACACACTGCTCTCTCAGTGGCACATTGCCTGGCCTCCCTACCCTTCTTTGAAAATGTGGGTGGAAGTCTTTCCGACCCCACAACTCAAATGTTGACTTTGTTTTCATTGTAGACTTAAAAAGCACAAGAGTATATCTAAGACTGCTAAGTAAAATATGTGAGTTCAGCTACTCCAAGTTTATTTGCCTTTGAAACTTTTATTTAGTTATGCTCATTAGCATCTTGAATGCATATTGTTCTTAGACAGTAGAGAAATACTGTTTTTTTTTTTTTCTTTTTGAGTACCTGGGATTGAACTCATGACCTTGCACTTGCCAGGTGGGTGCTTATACCACCAAGCTAAATCATTGACCCTGGAAACACTGTTCTTTGAGAAATCCCAGTAAACAAATAGTTGTACTGAAGGCTGAAATTCCCATATTGAGTGAAAGGAAAGTAGAACATGGTTAATGAATCTTGGAAGTGAAGAATATTCCTTTACCATACCAGAGGGTTTTTAAACAGCCCAGTCTTTATTAAATTCGAGATCTGTGGGAAAGGGGGTCTGAACTAGGTTATTAGTATGTGAATTCATTTATTCAGTGATATCCTATTTCCAAAATTAGTATAATTTTTTTCTTTTCCATTAGACCAGATAGATCTCATAGAAAATCATTTGTAAATGCTGAAATTGAGTCTTCTTTTCCCTTCTCTCTGCCCTTTGGCCTTCCTTTGTAAAGAATGAGTGTAGGTTTGATTTATAGTTTTTATAGTTTTAACTGTAATCCCAGAAAAATGCTTTCTACTCCTTCAACCTTTGCATTGCTCCGTGATCACGAGCTGTATCTTCAATAGAAACTTTCCAGTAAGTGCCAACGTTGTGTTTTCCTGCCATGGGCTCTCCAAAGTACTTTGATTTCTGTTCACAAAATATCCAGGAAGATTTCAGGAATTGGGATCAACTCCATTTGTCATACACATCATTATATAACTCTCCTAAGATGCTTCCCTCGATCAATTCTTCTTTATTCTCAACTCCCGCCAGCTTCTCTCTAGAATTTATTTAGCTCAAAGGATGTTATTTTACCTGTGCTGACACAGTGCTTTGCAACGGACGTTAGTCCATTCTTCTGCATATTTTCTCTGCCCATTTGAATTTAAAGTTATTGGAGGCAAGGTTAATATACTTGCTTCTTTCCCACTGTCTTCAAAGTCTCACATGCAAGTTCTATACAGAGTAGCTGCTTATTTTAATTGATTCAAGAGATGGGTCTTACCCATCACAAGACCCAAAATGTACACTAGATATTATAATAATGAAAGGGAAAGAAAGTACTCACAAGGAAAGAACAGCTTGTAGGTATACACATCTAACTGTATGTATGTATAAGTGTGCCAGGTGCATAACCATACTGCTAATTCTCTGTTAGTTCATCAAAAAGAATAGTTTTGTGCTGTCATTGTTTGATTGCCTGTTCATTTTTTATGCTTTGATATTGTAACTTGAACAACTACTTCTAAGATAACAATATGGAATATCTTAGCTAGTGTTGATTTCTTACATTTTTTTGAAATTATGCATTATTTCTACAATTTTTTCTGTTTTGTTTAAAAAGAAAAAAGAATAATTCACAGGGAGTAATATGAGAATATCTACCCATGTTTTATATCACAATGACCAGAACATAAATATTAGAATCTGCCTGACTTGAGTTCAAATCTGAAACCAAAAATAACAGCAATCTGTATACTCTTATTTATCCCTTTTAAGCTCCCATGCTTTTACATGGAGAATGGAAATAATGTGTCCACTTTTTCTTAAAGGACCACACGAGGGACTGGATGTTTAAATTCTGGTGTTAAGACAGGGATTGGAATCGTATCTCTGCTTCTTAGCATAGCATTGTGGGCAAATAAGATAAACTTCTCCGAAGCTCATTCCTTCATCTGTAGATGAGGGTCCAAAATAGGATTTATGTTATGGAATGGTTTATATTGGGGGAAGTAATACATGGAAGCAGTGTTAGACAGTGCTGCTTGATACCCAGTAATCAGTTATCATTAGGTATTACCGTAGAAATCTACCAGCTGTACCAGATGCCAAGACGTTCAAATGAATTTTAGTTCTTTGTCTGGCTGATTCCCACCTTTATGAGAGATGAACTTTGTAGATCTGTTGGCAAAAAGGATTCATTGCATGAATGGTATTTGACTGTTTTACCTATCCTACATGATACCTTTCAGAGGAAAAACTGTCTTGGGCAGATAACAATTTGTCTGAACTTAAAAAGGATTATGTTCTCACAATGTGGGTTGAAGCCTTTTTATTGAACACAGCCATTTTGTGTCATGTTGATTTCCTCAGGATATGAATCAGAGAGAAAGAAATGAAGACTTGTCCCAGGAAGAAAGGGGAGGACTGGCAGGGAATTTTTTACTGGTAAGGTGACTTACACACTTGTCCTTTTTGTGGTGAGTCATGGTCTGTGATACATTTCATAGCAATATCTGTGAGTTTCCAAATCTAGAACTGAGCATGCGAGCCAAATAAGGGATAGAGAAGAAAACAGTTTTATACTCCATCTAGTTACCATTCAGAGAATTCTAGAAGAGTAACTTCAATAAAAAGACTATTCTGACAACTAATTTTAATCATAGTTTTAAACCCATTAAAATGGAATTAGCTAATCATGTTCAGAATGTCTTCAGCAGAGAAATTTGATAGTATGTTTCAATAACCAGCTTCAATATTCCAGAAAAAATACAGCTCTTCCTAATCTTTTCCCTAAATCTCTTTTTTTCTTTTTTCTTTTTGCCATGACTCAAGGCTAACTGTACTCTTTTTCAGATTGGCTGACCTAAGCTTATATTAAAATCACTTTGCAATCTTTTTTTTTTTAAAGTTACTAAAGGCTACTTTTGACTTTCTAACAAAGAAATCTCAACTCACTTGGGAAGCTCTCTCATGTCCATTTTTTTCCAGACTTCATGTTATTTGAAATATCATTTCAGGTCTATGAGTATTCCCTAGCTATTCTAATAGTAGGATAGAAAATACCAAAATTTTGTTTTATTTGCTTGGATATCCCTAGGATTTTGTACCAGTCAGAGAATATTATAGGTGCATCCAATATTGACTGAATGTATAAATATGGCCTTATACCTGCATAGTTCCCGATGTTTCATGAAAAACTTTGCACCTTGATCAGTTTTATTCCCCTGTCTAGCCCTCTCCTCTATTTTACTATCTAATTATTTATATTTTGGGTTTCTCATGTAAGAGAACCCATGCAAAATTTAATCTTCTATGTCTGATTTATTTCATGTAGCATGATGGTCTCAAGGCAGATCCCTATGTCCATCTTCATAGTTGAGTAGAAATCTACTGTATTCCTTTGCCACATTTTTTCATGTGCTCACATAAAAATGATTGATCTGATGATAGCTATACAGGCTGCTTCCGTAATTCAGCTATTATAGTGAGTGCAAGGCCCCTGGTTGAAGCCTCAGTACCACAAGGGAAACAAAGAAAAACAGAGAAAGAGAGAAAGAAAGAAAGAAAGAAAGAAAGAAAGAAAGAAAGAAAGAAAGCAAAAGAAGGGAAAGTAAGAGTGAAAACTTTATCAAAAACCTTACCTAAGATTATTTTGTTTGTACCTGTTACCACCAACAAAATCTTACCTTTGATCATAAAGCCAGTATTTTTCAGAGTAGAGTTCTGAATTCGATCCCTCGTTCTCATTAGTATAACTTTACTAAGCAGACCTACAGGGTTTTAAATGAATACATCTGGAAACTCTTCAGAACACCAAAAGAAATTCCATTTGATACAGCTATACTTCTCTTGAAATATTCCTGAGTGAATTAAAACCGTCATGATACAGTGATATATAAATATCCATGTTTATAGCAGAACAATTTATAATGGCTAAATTGTGGAAGCAGTTTATTTAGACATCATCAGATGAATAGAAGATTAAATATTGTGTACATTCTCTTACATGAGAAACCCAAAATATAAATAATTAAAAGAGTAAAATAAAAGGGATCTGATTGGGATCTGAGGAAGGAGGAAAGAAGTGAAAAACAGGAATAAAGCTATATATATATATATTCCATAAAATGAATATAATTGTTATGTATTGTAACATGTACTAGTAAAAATAAATTTAAAAGGAAAATATAGCTACTCATCATACTATTTTTAAATTGTAAAATGCCATTTGTTCATGGTTAGGTTTAATCTTTTCTTGCTTTAAACTCCAATTTTCACTGACTTTTTACAAGCTTATCATTTTCTCATGATGTATCTCTACAGTTTTATCCTGAATATGAAATATTAATAACACGTAGTAGGGTGCTTTTAAGCTTTCTTGCCATAATGTAGACCTTGCTGTCTTCTTCCTTTAATTTTTTGTCTTTGAAATAGGATCTTACTATGTAGTTCAGGCTGGCCTTGAACTCACTATGTAGCCCAGGCTGGCCTACACTGGCCTCACTGTGGTCCTGCCTCAGCCTCCCAAATGCTGGAAGTTTTGCAGGTGTGAATCACCTCACCCAGAAACTACTTGGTGTCTGGATTAAATGATGGGTGGTCACTGTGAGGACCTTGGTACACCTTGTGGTGAAATCCATGCTGCTCTAAGATTTCTTCATTGCAGAAATCAATCATTTTTGCTAATCCTTCCATTACTTTACTGGGATTCCAGTTTAACCAAAGATAGACACAGGATCTCTTCTACTGACGTCCTTAAAAACAGGAGGATGCCAGAAATTTGTAATTTTCCACCTGCTACTGCTGGTGGTGCTGGTACTGAACAGGTATTAATATATATTTATGCAATTAAATTAATATCTATAGGGAAATCCAAGGACTTGATCTCCATATCAATGTGTTCTTAGATAATTCTCTAAGTTTCTGCTGTGTTATCTGTAAAATGAGATCCCTATCTACCTTTAAAGGACTAGTAAAAATGTGAGAGTGCTTAAAAATTGGACCTTAAGGAATATTTATTTTAGGCTACCTGAAATCTTAGTTTTTAAATAATTTAGCAACTCTTTTGTGCAAATAATCAAAGCAAAGGAGCTCTTAATGACCTAGTTGTGAATTAATATTTTAAATCAGCAAGTGGGTTTTATTTTGTCAAATTCCTACAACCCTCAGTGTCTGTTCTTTGCCTTAATTTACCTTCCATTGTGGTCATCTTCACTGTTGGAATGGAATTGTCAAGTTGAAGACATGTTGAGGAATGGTTTGTTAAAATCTGGATTCATAATTCTCAATTGGAAGAGGCTGGGGGGCAAACAGCCCCAAGCACTATGATATCAATCAAATTGGCCTGGAATATTTGAACAGTTTTCTAATTAATCTGTGGTAGAACATGGAGAAAGAGCTTCCGAAGGTTAATACAAGAGAAAATCCCATTGAGTCATTGCTGAGTGCTAGATGAACTAGCAAATTTATTGCATTTGTCAATGAAAGAAGTCTGTACTTTAATGCTGCCTTGCTGTGAAAGCCATTATAAATTTGTATGTGAACCTGAGAAGGCATCAGAATCACCTAGAGGACTTATAAAATCAAAGAAGTCTGAGTAGTGTCCTGAAAGTGTCTGAATGTGTAAATCTGGAATAGGGTGAATCTCAAGATTTGCCATTATAGTAAGTTCCCAGGTGATGCTTCAGACAGGAATCACACATCCAGAACTTAGTGCTTCTCAATTTTCTTTTAGATCGCCAAGACTGGACAAAATAAAGATTCCATAGACTGCTACTTTTCCCTAATACTACTTTAATGAAAGGGGGCTTAGGCCATCAGTGGCACAGGTGATATCTATGGGTCACAGTGCTCTATAAAATTACAATGAACTCTGGGAAAAGAAAGCAAGCACTGTTTTTGTTTTGCTTGACCCTTTCAGCAAATTTCTGTCTTTATAGAATACATTTGTGTGATCTGCTCTGAACTCATTCTTGAATTGTCTAAAAATATATTACCCAGATCTTAAAAACAAAAAGAGGGAAAATGTATCTTCATTTTTTTTCAAACACTCTAGGTTGTTATGTCTTTTCCAACAAATGGGGGACACCCTGGCATCCTGCCCACTTGCTTATGATCAAATTACATACTGGAAAATATTCCTGTATGAAGCTGTTTCAAGGAAAGTTGTTTAAAAGAGGCCCAGTTCTATCAATTCAGATTCTTTCTCTAGAAGCCTGTTTCATGCTATTCAATTCAGATCAGTATCCACTGAGTGACTTCTTATGTCAAGTACCATTCTTACTTGGTTAGGTACTTTAAAAAAGATGTGGTCCAAACAGACATCAATCCCTGCACTTACCAAACCTACATTGCAGCATGAATAGACAGACAGTAAATGTGATACATAAATACATAAATCAATGTATTACATTTCTGATGGAGTATGCTATGGAGTAAATGAAATGAAAGAGTAAATAAAGTTCTAGACTTCTAGGACTGGCAAGAAAGAACAGTATTCATGTTTATAATCTTAAAAATGAGTACCGTTTGAACGAATATATAGAAGATGACACTGTCAGTGTGTAACTAGTAAAGTGTGACACAGGCAGAGAGAACGGCCTGTGCAAAGGTCCAAAGACAGCAGTGGACCCAGCACACTGAGGGACAGTCAGGAAGCCAGTGTGGTGGAGGTGGAGTGTAAATGGAAGGTGGTGGCTTAGAGGAACGACAGAAAAGCAAGGGAAAGACCACATAAAGCTCTGAGGTCACTGAAAAAACTCTTTGACTTCAGTATGTGTAATAGTCAGTGCATGGTGTTGAACAGCTGGTGTATTTAGGGGGATCTGTTGGGGCATTGTGCTGAGACTAAATCAAGCATGGTAAGGTTATAGGCAGAAACAGAGACTAGTTAGGTGACCATGCCAGCACCCAAAGCAAGACATGATGTGGCTTGGGCCCTAGGTTTGGGTTAAAGGGTTATCTAGTATATTTTGAAAATATTCAATGCGATTTCATGATACATTGGTTGTAGAATACAAGAGAAAAAGAAGTCAAATTCTTCTTGAAATTGCTGTTGGTTGACATGACTGTAGGAAAAGCAGGTTTGGGGGAATATTGAAACTTTGATTTTGGATATGCTGAATTTGAAATCTGTTATATATCTGATTGTGGATGTCAAGTTGCTATGGATCAAGCATATGTGGGACTTGTGGGAATATGTTGAGTGTGTCTAGACTACACACGGAAATTTAGGAGTCCTCAACCTGTTGATATTACAAGCTAGAAGTCTGAATGAGATTATTAAATGAAGGGATATAGATTAAATAAAGACAAGGATGCAGACTTACTCTTCTTCCCCAGCATAAACTAGAATAAAAACCATTAGGATTCAGTGTCCTAAAATCCAAAAGGAAGAAGCACATAAAGTAGAAGGCAGAAAAAATATATAGATAGATCCAATTAGCAGACCAAAGATTGTCCATTGAATTTCATAACTGGAATTTACTGGTGACCTGAGCAAGAAAAAGATCATAACTGGGTAGAATAGTGACAGTTAAAACCTGATTACGTCGTTTACGAGGTAGTGATAGGAGAGGAATTAGGAACATTGAGAAAGCCAACTTCCGTGATTCCTGTAAAGGATGAGAAGAAACAGCATGGAAAATAGGAGAAGAAGTAGGGTCAAGGTCATTTGTTACTATTTAGTTTTGGTTTGAAGACCTTAAAACATGACTGTGTGCTGATACGACTCTTCTAGTAGTCAGAGACAGACCAGTGATTTAGGAAACAATTATTTTAAACAATTTTGATGGGCTAGCAAAAGTGATTTCTAGGGTCCAAGCAGAGAACTTGGCTACAGAGAGGGGATGGAATATTTTTAGCCATAGTAAAATAAGGCCTAAGTATATGCCTCTACAAATATTTAGTCAAAAAATAAAATGAAGTCAAACATAATACAAAAAGTATGCCATGCATGCTCCATTTTAGGAGTTTTTCTAAATGAATAAATTAAGGTTTTAAAAGAAAGATCTCTTGTCTCTTCAACAAAGGACTCTTCTTTTCCTGGAAAATGTTTTTGTATCAAGCATAGACATTCTTCATTACTCCAACAACTTCAAATGTATTCATAATTAGGAGTACTTGCCTAGGAAATTTTTATTTTTCAATTTTATGTGCACGAATGTGTATGGCATCTTAGATGTTAAATGTGAATAATTTCCATGAGATTGTCTTCCACACTCTCTTGCTGTATTCTAATAAAATGGTAGATCACCACCATCTTATCAGTGACAACAATCTGGAACATTATAGGTATTGGCTGCAGTTCTTAAAAAGGTATAAAAATAAATTTTGACTTCATTTTTATAAGTTTATAAACCTAAATGAAGAGAGAGAGATAAGAGAAAGGGAGAGAATCTTAAATTGTTTCTTTGGTGTAAAAAACAGTAACATTCTCTAGAGGATAGGAAATGCCCTTGTGCTTTGCCTGACCAAAATGTATTATACACAACTCACTAAGACTAGACTATATAAATGTGGCAATAATAATTGTCTTAGTCTGGGCTGCTATTACAAAATGCCATAAACTGGTAGCTTAATAAATGATGGAAATTTATTTCTCAAGATTTGGAATCTGGAAGCCCAAGATCAGGGTGCCAGGATGGTCATGTTTGGTTAAGGCCATTTCCTATGTGACACACAGTTGACGTCTCATGGTGTCCTTACTAGCAGAATGATGGGAGATCTCTGGGTCCCCTCCTTTTTTTTTTTAACAGCATTAGTCTCATTCATGAGGTTCCCATTCTCATGATCTAATTTCCCCCAAAACCTCATCACCTAATGCTATTACTTTGGGATTTAGCATTTCAACATACGAGTTTCAGAGGAAAAGCAAGTGTACTATAATAATAAATTATATAAGGTAGATGTTTAAAAATACCTTTTGAGATTGACATTGATGATCAAATTAGTTTAAAGCAAAAAGCGTTCTAGGGGAACTGAAATGAATTTGTCTCTGTAAAATTGCAGTGTGTGTCCCATGGTAAGTATCCAATAATTTACGATAATAGGTACAAGATGACAATGTTGTTCAGGAGAGATCTAGTAAAACTGTCAATATTAGGGACTGGGAATTTAGCTCAGGGGGCTGGGGATTTAGCTCAGCAGCATAAGCGCCTGCCTTGCAAGTGTGCGGTCGTAAGTTCGGTCCCAGGTACTGATAAAAACGAAAAAGACAAAAAGAAAAGAAAAGAAAGAAATTGTCAACATTAGGAGACTGTTCCTAGTTAGCTGTTTGGAGTGGGGCAAGTTTTCTGCTGCCAACATTACTTTATTGAGAACTCAGACTTAGCAGCAAAACCATATGAGGGCCAGGTGGACAAGAAACTATCGTTCAGCTTTTATGTGCCTGACACATAAGCATCTTATATACACATTTTATTTAGTTCTTATGATAGCCCTGTACAATAAGTTGTATTATCCCAATTGTATGGATGAGGAAATTGAGTTGGGGAGAAATGATTAAGTGCTACAATGGGAAAGCTCTCTGCAAATTGTTAAGTAAATTAAAAGACTGACCCTATCTACTAAGCTGCCCATAAAAGAGCAAAATCCTCACCAAGGTCACTATGAGATTTGATTCCTAAGCCCCTAGTCTTCTTTTCACTATTCTAAGTTATTGAATTGCTCATCTAAATCCAACCCCAACTCAAATATGTGGTAGTGGCTTGGTAAGAATCCGGGAGTCAGCTGACTTTGCTATTGGCCTTGGGATTTAGTTCACGCTTCTGAACATGTATGTAGAGGTGGTTAGGATTTGGATGTTGATAAGGGTTGAAGACAAAAGGAAAAAGTACATTTTTTTTTCTCATGAGCAAAAAATTCTTCCCTTTCAGAAGACCATAGTGTAGTTTCTTTGGAAACTAATCACTTCAAACTCAAAATATTATTGTAGTTGATAAAAAACAGAGTATATCTCCCTTTTCCTATACTGATACAGAGAGAGAGAGAGAGAGAGAGAGAGAGAGAGAGAGAGAGAGAGAGAGAATTTAATATTTTTCACCAAGATCAAAAGAATATTAATTAGAACAATAACTTTATTTTTTCAACAGGAAAACCTAACTGTGGTAGCTTGGTTCTGATAGCTTTTTAGAGAATGTAAAGTCTATCATTACTCATTCTTCATAGCAGTCGGTTGCTGAACATCTCACAACTTTGTTTATGAATCAAGAACAGATTGGCTAGCAGGACAAATTACAAATATATTATTTTACACCTAAGTGTATTCTAGAGCAGAAAGTAAGTCAATACAAACATTTTGAGCATTTCCCAGGGAAATGACAAATCTCTCAATTTTTAACACTTCCAAGTTTTTCTTCTTCTTCCTCAAGATGTGAAAGTGAGACTCTACTCAGTCTAGAATTGGCCACCTAAAATGGTACCCATAATGCCAGAGCCGGGGCGGGGTGGGGTGGGCTGGGATGGGAACTTCTTATTCAGGGACGGAGAAGAGAATAGCCTGGATTTCCATTATGAGTTTAGTGTAAAAATAACTGTGTGGGTATATGAAGAATCCACTTTTCAACACTGGAAAACTAATCTCATTTGTGTCCTCAGAGACTTAGAGAACTCCTTAGAACAGGAGAAGCTTGACATAGTTTTGACATAGAGCCTAATGGCCAAAAGAGTAGCTAAGGTTAGAAATTAACTAACAAGAGGAATTATGATTTTATTTTTTGCAAGAGAATTTAAAAGGTTTTCTTAGCATGCACTGTGGATAACCTAGCTGAGACTCTACTGATGTTTTTATGGGTTCAGAGATGTGTCCCTGTTACCTCTTCATCGCGGGATTTTTTTGTTCAGTGTATACAATTTGTAATTTCTCTACAAGTGAATATGCAGTTTCACTTGTTCTGCAGTTTCTGTTTGTACAGGGAGGGGCTAGCTCAGTTGTCTTTTTGAATTTAATGTAGAAGAGCTAAAGTCAGGGAGAGGGAGAGAAGCAGGGTTAAGGGCAGACACCCAACTTGACTTCCTCTAGCTTTAGGCACATTGTGAAAGAGCCAGTGATTCATCCTTGAGTTCCCCCACCCCCACGCAACCTCCATCCAATCATGTCCCCCCTTCCCCGCAAATATGCTGTTTAACATTTTCTTAGTGGTGCAACCTTGCTCTGAGATTACAGGGAGTGCTCAGTTTTATTAACATTCTTTCAACACACTGATTTAATTGTTACTGCCTTTTAGCAAGTGCTGAGTCACTTCCAAAGCATCACACATTCCATAGACACCTCCTTTACTTTCATTTTTCTCTTCCATTTTGTAAGTCCTTATTTTTTTTTCCCCAACAGGTTTGCCTTTGGAAAAGAATGAGAAGAGCTGGTAAACTCAGCTTCCTCGCTTCTGCGCCTTAGGTGAGTATAATTTATACTTCTAACCTTTTGTAAGTGTCATTAAAGAGTGTTCCCCGAGTTTCTGTTGAAGAAGAGTCTTGTTTGATCTTTGCAATGCTGGCACTCTTATAGAATTAACCACGGAAAAATTTGATGACACTTTCATGCTTCTTGTAAAATTCGTCTTTGGGGTAATTTTACAGTGTGTATTTTCCCCTTGAACGTTTTAAAAAGTTGGATTTCGGTCTCTTTGCAGAACACTCTACCAGCTGTGTCTCATTTGCTTTGCAAGGGCATTTGAAGAAATTGCTATTTTAGAAACTGCCTCACATATGAGATAATTGTTTTAAAGCGCTTTACAGGTTGCATAGTGCTTTCCCATTATATTACCCATTCATTTCTCACAGACACTTAGGAAACACTATTTACATTTTTCGGGAAGGAAAATAGAGGCACTGAAGAAAGACTAGAACGGCGGCTTGGCAGGGCAATATGTTTCATGCCTGGATTAATCAACAGATTAAAATCTCCTTCTTCAGATCCTTCAATACCTATGACCAGAAACTCTGTGCCTTTTGACCCATATAGGTAGACAGGCACACGTGCTGTTCTCACAGGCGTGTATGTTCCGATTAGTTTTAGGTCTCCTATAATGACTAGCTGCTGCAGACTTAGATGTTGAAGCTCTGAAGAGGAACAAGATTTAGCTGCCTTTATTATAGATAATATGGTGGGTGGTTAAAAGTGTGACTTTCAGAGGATAAGTTGCTTGAGTATAAATCCAAATTCAACGCTTATCAACTTGTGTGATGTTGGCAAATTTCTCATCCCTTCTCACCCTTGATTTTCTTAGCTGTACAATGGGAACAGGAGTTGCCACTTCCTGGAATATTGCAGGTTTTAACTGACCTAATCAAATCAAGCTCTAAGCACAGAGCCTAGCATGTAATAAGCCCTCTGTAAGCCCTATTATCCTATTGTGGTTCAAAATGTGGTCATGTGGTCATTTTTCTTGAGGCTCATTTAAGTTAATTTGTTTCATAAAATTATACCAGTGAAGGCCTGGCGATAGTTAGTTATCTCCAGAGATAATTGGTAGGGTAGACCCAAGTTATACTAGTGTTTTCTCTGCCTTTGAGAGCTGTGATAATTATAACTTCTCAGTCATTCTACTCTTTAAAACACAGAATGGCAATGTTCCTCCTGAGTAATGTGGGACGAAGACAAAGACCCCATTCACTCCTGCTTGTGGCATTGCAAGCTAGGGCTTTAGGAATGGTAGCACATTAAAGGGCGAAAGATGACATGGATTTCCTCAAAGTTCAAGGTGAAATTAAGATACAGAAGAGACAGCAGTGATCTGTGTAGCTGTGAACGGGCTCTTGTTAGAAGACAGAGGACTGAGTCCCAGATCTTCAAGGTTTGTATTTGGGGAGATTGAATTACAGAAAGGCAGAGGGCTCTGCTCAGTTACCTAGCAAGCACTTCCTGGTTATTGCTGGCTTTGCTATGTACTCGAAGGTGGGCACCAGCAACAGGCGATCCTGATGAATGGGAATGATAGTACCTTTAGGACGACCAATTTGTTGCCTCTTTCCTAGGATATTCTAATAGCAAATGCTATGTCTAGGGAACCTCTTTAGTCCTGGGAAAATTCAAGGAGTTTGGTCACCCTAGTACCTGATGCTGTAGTCTCACTGTGTTCCCCACATGGGCACTGGATCTAAAGGTGCTTTGACATTTCATGAACTGCATAGTATAATTATCAATTCTGAACCCCTGATGTTCAAAAATAGTGTTTTAGGCTGTTGGGATGAAACTGCTCAGAGGTTATGTAATGTGACTGGAGAATCCCGTTAATGTGTCGTCCATGCTTGGTGTCATCCTAATGGGTCTACATATATGTAATTGAAAGTACACACAAGCATATTCATAGAGAGTGTTTAGAACAAATACTTTCAAGTTAAAATGAAGATACTTTGGACAGAAAAGATCTGATTTTCATCATTTTTACTTCCTGAAAAGTTCTACTTTATACCCAAAGCATATTTTTGAAATGATCACCACTAGTGAGATGGTTAGTCTTAATTGTCAACTTGATTGACTTGAGAGATGCTAGGAGATTAAGAAGTGACATTTCTGGGTGTACCTGGTTAGGCTGTGGAGACCTGACTGTGGGAATTGTACCTGGTTCCTTGTTCCTTCCTTGGCCTCTTCCCCTTTCCCCGCTTTCCTGGTGCCGTGAGGTGAGCACTTTTCCTCTGCCATGCCTCTCTCATGATGCCTCCTCCTTGGAGCCAGCCAATCAGCTGAAATCAGGAGTCAAAATAAAGCCCTCCCCCTTCAAGTTTCAGGTATTAAGTATTCTGTCCCAACACAAAGCTAACCTGTACAATCACTGATTTGTATTAGAAAACTTTAAAGCGTAACAAAGTTGTCTGGAGAAGATGGCATAACTGACCATCTATTGGCATAAGAATAATAAGTATACCAAAGAATAGTAGGACATTGCTTGGAATTAACTAGAGGTGTCACTGGCATTTTACAGATATGCAAAACTGTCACCCAGTGAGCACATCCAAGATTGAGGGTAGTTTCCAAAACAAGATTGGTTTAGTTTGCTTTCATGTCATCCAGAGATTGTACAGGAGTGAGGGGAATTTCAAAACGTATTAGCATGCATTTGCTTAAAAATTTCTTGACTGACTAATCTGTGTTTTATCTAGAAATTTCCAACCAGAATTTCAGTCAATGGGTGCCCTGTAAAAGTCAATGCTGTTTTGTACAGACATGCCTAGCAAAGATAAACAAAACATGTCACATCTACCAGGAAGAACATAAAAACAAGCAAATTTGATCAAACTCAGTCACTATTGTTAATAGAAGTAATATTTTTAAAAAAATTATTCCTGTAAAATATAATGGCTCTTTCTCTGCTTGGCTTTTTAAATAGAACACGTAAACCGTTCAAAACAAATGTTAAGTTACTTGAAAACGATGTGAACATGTCATATAGCCTTTGCCTGTCCTACGGGTCCTGCTTCAGGCCTGCGCACACAGTGACATTTAGTAAAGTCTTAACTTACATTAAATATTCTTTGTATTAATAATCGTCCAACGTAACATAATGAAACGAAAGTGAACAGTTCATGGCCTGCCATTCCACACTGAACTTTCCCCTGAGGATAAACTACTTCACCTCTCAGACAGAAGCAAAGAACTCATTCAAAAACCAGAGCTGAAGGCTGTTGGAATTATTGTTGTTTATATTTCCCTGGACAGAGGAGTAATTATGTTGGCTTCAAAAGCCTTTTCTTTACCTTCCATCCTGGCCTGCTGGTACAGGAAGAAGCTTTCCTTCGGTTCTTGCATCTTACAAATGGAAACGCAGAGGAGGGAATCATTTGCCCAAGGTCATCGAGTCAAAACTTCTGAGATATTTGTCAATCCTAATTTAATTTTCCTAAACCTCACCAAACAGAGCTGTAGGCTGCAGGTAATTTTCTTGGCCCTGTTCTTAGTTCAGGAAGTGCCTCTCACCCATAACTTCTCCACCTCCCATGATTTTCCCAGTTAAATCCCAGATAAATCCCACAAGATGTACCACCCGTTAAACAAATTGGCTTCCTTCTGTTACTTGCAAATGGCATTTTCTTTGTTCTGAGACAACACATCTGTGCCTTTACGGTAAGATCTCAGGCTAAGGGAATCTTCTAGGTGACCTAAGGTGCCGAATAAATATGAAGTTATAAGGGCTGTTTTCCTCAGGCCTTTCATGTAGCAACACACAACTCAAGGCTTGGATAGAAAAATCTCTGGCTTCATGGGAGTCAAGGCTTTGCTTTATGATTAATTTAGCTGGTGATGAGAGCAAGGTGAAATTTGTGAGGAAAGATATAAAGTGGAGGAAATCGAGGTCATAGCTTTAGCAGAAACTCCAAGAAGACAGATTGCTTGTGGCTCTTAGAGCATCATTTTCCCAACAGTGGTGATGCAGAGGGAAAGTTTAAAAATGACAGTCTCCTTTGAGAGGCATATAAGGGCACAAAGGTTTTTCAGAACTCAACCCCACAGAGAGGAAAGCTGCTTGATATTTATTCAAACCCCTTCCTTTTAAATCTTGATTACCCTTGTCTCTGCTAGGTGCTGAAATTTATGCATCAGCGACAGGTGATTCTTACGTAAGGATGGAATCTTGGGTGTGATAAATTTGGTCTGGAGAAATCTCAGCTCAGTTGCTACAGATGGCAGTGTCAAGATGACAGAGTTAGAGAGCAGCGACCTGCCGGGCTGGGGGCTGTCTGTGAAATGGCTACTCAGTTTAGAACTGTCTGAGCTAATTCCTTGAGCTCAAGGTCATGGTCAAGGTGCATAGCTGAACTGTAGGGTTGACATCCTTCTAGCAATATCCTTTTCTCCTCTCTCAGACACTAGTGCCAGTTTACTCAAGGGTCCTGCAAGAATCAGGTTACAATTTGCGCTCCTAGTGAATATCTTTATAATGCAGGGCCTCTGTCTATTATGACTCCTCCTGTTAATGGTAAATTCTGTGCTTGTTAAAAGAAAATGCTTATACTAGAGAATTTGCATACTGAGTTCATTTAGCCAAGGAGACATTTTTATGCACATAATCCCAGTCAAGTCCTATCTGTGATCTGGGTTCTCCTCTAGTGAGATCTTTCCGGCCATGAATTTTTAGCCTTACTTTTGAAGAGTTTGGAAATTCCCCAGAAGTTCACACATTCACAAAATTGTGAACTCATATCTACCTTTCTTTAGGAAGAGAATTTATACTCTACAGCTTTCATGAAATTGTTACAAGAATCTAAGATCCAACAAAAATAAGATTGCTCTTGCAAATGAAGAAAGTACTCTGAAACACCTTTTGTTTTCTTTTAACTATATTTCCCATCTTGAATTTTAGATTGAACTTGACCAGGGGTTAGCAACCTGGGGCAAGCTTTGAAGTCAGATAGTCTGTTGATCCTGGCGTGGATACTGGCTTTATATTTTCCAACTGT